ACCACGCCCGGCTGATTTTTTGATTTATTGTAGAGATGAGGTCTCGCTGCCCAGGCAGGTCTCGAACCTGCGGGCTCACGCAAGCCACTCATCTCAGCCTCCCAAAGGTGCGGGATTACAGGCTGAGCCACCGAGCCCGGCAACAAATGAGTTTTTTGTACCCTGTGCCAGGTAGGTGCTTAAAAAAAACCCAGGAAGAAGTAGGCAGACTTTGAGATAAACCTTGAAGAACAGATAAGATTTAAATAGGCAGAATAATGGAAACAGCCTGAGCAAAAGCTAGTAAGCAGAAAATATTTAAGGAAAGAAAGACTAGTTTGACAAATTTTTTTAAAGAATCACCACAACCTGAAACACAAAACAATTTACATGCAATTAGTGTAGCTTTCTTTTCTCTGCTTTTTCATTAAAATCCCCATAGTGTACAGGCAATAAACTCACCGACACAACACAGTCAACAACAGGTTTCTTAAGAACACTTTCTGCCGTCTCCTTCAGTTTGGACAAAAGCATGGCAGTCACTTGCTCAGTGGTAAAATTTCGTTCTTCCTCCATATATGTCACCTGCAAGAAAACAATAATATTACAATAATATAATATTACAATTCCCAGCACCTCCCATTACCAATGGAACATTATCTCAAGAGGGAATTGGGAAAAAAGCTAGTTTGGGAAGTAACAATTACCTGAAGGTCATTTTTAGCTTTTAACATGCTTTCTAAACAAACACTTAAGAGAGATGGAAGACTACAATGTAAAACAATACCTGAGACAAGTACAGAAACAACTGGTGTAGCTTACCATGACCCACATTGTCCCTCCATAAAGGTGCTGCTGGTACAAATGATTTTACAATCTGACATATTATGTGTGTTTTACTGTGTTTATTGTATTATCTATCCTCCGATTAGAATTCCACCTAACCTGAAGACATGGATTTCTCTGATTATTCACTGCCATAGCCCCAGCACCCAGAACAGGACCTGACACAATAAATGGTGGTTGAATTTGTTTGTTTGCTGATTGACTGACTGACTGACTGATTGATTGATTGATTGAGTCAGAGTCTCACTCTGTCACCCAGGCTGGAGTGCAGTGGCCTGCTCATGGCCACCGCAACCTTGACCTGCTGGGCTCAGGTAATCTTTCCTCCTCAGTCTTCCAAGTAGCAGGAACAACCAAACCCAGCTATTTTTTTTAATTTGTTGTAACAAAGTCTCAACAAGTTGCCCAGGCTGGTCTCGAACCCCTGGACTCAGGCAATCCTCTCACCTCTCAGCCTCCCAAAGTGCTAGGATTACAGGCTTGAGCCACCACGCCTGGCCTTGAATTTTTTTTAAATGATGAAGAAAGCTTCAAGATAAAGCCCTATCTCAGATAAAAGTCTACAATTTTAATAATAGTTACAAATTTTAAATGCCAAAAGACTGCCTAGCATAAGCCCATCCCCATGCCCATATTCCCCAATTACAATCCAGATGGCAAAAAATATTGCTCTCTTTTAGCTGCTGTTCCAACTCATTGAGAATCACTCTCCTCCTGCTCAGTCCAACGATAATCCATTATGGTTTCTCATTCTACTGCCTGATAAAGATGGGGAAATATCCCTTCCAGTGAGCCCCTTTCTAAATTATCGTCTTCTTTCCTGCTATTTGCTTAATTCTTAGTTAATTCTTCCACTTCTAAACTTGGATCTACCTGCTCCCCAGATCTTCTTCCATGTTTTTTTCTCCTGTGGCTCTTGCAATGTTTATGACTAAATCTGCCAATATCCAACCTATTCCACTCTAATAAGTATTGCCCATTTCCTTGCCTTCCTTTTTTACCTTTTTCCCTCTTCTGCACCCCTGCTTCACCTCTTACTGTGCCACTCAAATTATTCTGAGATAATTACGAGACATCTTAAGTAAATTCAGTGATCATTTTTTAGTTATCAGAATCCTTCACTTCTAAATTTGACTAAATTCTCAGCTACACTAGAATGGACTACCTTCTTCTCATATTTCTCACCATCTCTTAGCTCTTGAGCCTGTTCTCATGATTCTTCCGTCAGGAATGTCTCCAATACCACATCTCCTCTCCCTAAACTCACTTGCATGGAAAGTTCATCCCCCACCTCCTCATGGATTCTTCTTACTATCTCTGAGTCCAGGAAAGGCAGATATGTCTATTCTACCCATCTCCCAGTCTCTCACCTCTTTTGTGTGAACAGTTAACTCCATACTTCACAAAGAAATGTCCCAGAGATATCAAACACCAAACTCACTTTTCCCCAAGAGAACATCTCTTTCCAACCTAAGTCCTACTGTCAAGAATAGGACCATATGTGACCACATATTTGCTAGTGACTTAAAAGTATTGATTCCTCTTCCCCAAGTGACTCCCTAAAATCACTTCAGACAGAAAGGTCATTGCATCGTGAACAAAACAAGCAGTAATGGTAGTGTGAACTTCAACTATCACTCCCAGAGGCCACCAACCCATATTAACAGCACCACCAATGCTCCTAGCCAAAATCTAGATCATTCCAAAAGTGTCAAATGGTCTTTACCCATCAGTAAAAGCCTTTCCTAAGCATTTGTAAGAATTTTCACTACAATTTGACATCAGAAAGATATGGATGTATATTTAGCTGATAAAATGCATTTTAATCATAAGAAATTAACTTGAGAATATTACCTTTATGCCCGTTAATCCAGTGGGCAATTGTACAATATCATAAGCAAGGTTAGATTTTTCTGCCTCCACAAACGGATCAGAGAATGCTCGGCCATGGAATCTTTTAAATCCCTGGACTGTGTTCTTTGCATTGGAAATTACCTAAGAGAAAGAAAATCAAAGAATGGAAAGACTACTATTACTTTTTTTTTTTTATTTCAACAGCCTCAGCTTCCATTAGCATCAGTTTAACTTCACAAAGTTTCCTTCTTAGCCTCAGTTGCTTCAAACACTCAACCTTTCTTAACAGTGCCTGCTAGCACATGAAGAGAGGCATGAAAAACTTGCATGGATCTCTCACAGTGGCAATGCTAAAACCAAAGCCCAGCTCTTTCTACTCCTCCATGAAGTCAGGTCACTTACAATTATTAAAGTATTTTCTGTTCTTAAACTTCTAATAAGCATTTGCATAAAATGATTTTTAGCTTTTAAAAACTGCCCATAGTTTATGGTTCTAAGTTTCCAGGAACCAATTCAGCAATACATTGCAATTCAGAAAATCTAAAGAAACTTCCCACAAGGGAAAAAAGAGCATACTAAAAACATAGATGAACACAAAAGTATATTGAGAAACTATGATTTGTAATAGCAGAAGCCTAGAAACAGCCTGGATGGTTAATAACAGGGAAATGGTTAAATAAGTTATGGTATACCTATGCAATAAAATACCATAAAATAGATAAGAGTTTTCAGAAGCTGGGGAGACAAGTCTATACAATATAATCTCACTTTCTTAGCGTGAAAAATACATATGCTTATAAAAAATACAAAGGTTTATACATTAAGGTATTAATGGCAGTTTTGGATAATAACTGGGAATGGATGACTTCTAAATTCTTTATACTTCTATGTTTATATTTCCTAATTCCTCTAAAATAAACTACTGCAAATATTATTGTTTTCTTTTTTTTTTTTGTCGGAGAATCATTCTGTCACCCAGGCTGGAGGACAATGGCACTATCATGGCTCACTGAAGTCTCACCCTCCTGGGCTCAGGCAATCTTTCCACCTCAGCCTCCCGAATAACTGGAACTGCAGGCACACACCACCACATTCCTGGCTAATTTTTTTACTTTTATTTTTGTAGAGACAAGGTCTTGAACTCCTGGGCTCAAGTGATCCTCTCACCTCAGTCTCCCAGAGTGCCAGGATTACCAGCGTGAGCCACCACGCCCAGTCAGACTATTACAATTTATAAGGGGAATATTCTGGCAAAGATACTCCAAAAATTCCAGAATGAACTTGTGCTTAAGATTTATAGACTCCTTCTCCCATTGCAGGAGATATACCAAGTCCTCTCAGGAGGTATGACCAAGTCTTCCTGCATCAGCTAGGTCAAAAGGCATACACACAGAAGTCCTTTTGTAAAACAAACAAAGCCTCCAGAATTAGGCCCTTCTTGAATATGCTGCCAAATAGAAACTCTGTAACAAAATAACTATGTCAACCTAGAACTAGGCAGCCAGTTTAGTACAATAACTGTTCTCAATAATGAAAGTAGGTTTAGAAACAGGAAGACTTCAATGGAATTTTAGAAAAAAAGACATTTCAAAATAGCCCTGCATTTGCTATGTACTGCCTCCTAAAATATCTAGGACAAAATAAGATTAGAAAACACTCAATCTAATTAAAAACAATTTGCCATGCACCATTTTCTTAGGCTCATAAAATTTTGACCCCACCCAGTCAAGAAAAATAGACGGTTGTTCACTCTATATTCCCTCCATATTGAACCCTAAAAAGATTAAGAATGCAACTCCTCAATTTTACAGAAACGTCAAACACCAGGATAACAGAATTCTTAGTTCTGCTGCTTTGGTTACTCAGAAGTCAGTAAATATGTCAGGTTCCTGGTTTACACAGCGAACTAATAGCAAGTCCTCAAATGTACTTCGAGAGGTATGCTTTCCTTCCTTGAGAAATCTGAATAACAAGATATACAAATAAGGTGAAAGGCCTCACAAGATAGACTTTAAGGAGCATCTAAAGAATCAAGGGACAAGCAAGTCTTGCTTAAACAAGATTTGGGCAAAAATACATCTAATAGTTTGCACTGAACAGATTATACTGTTAATGCTATTTTAAAGCTATTTGTTTCTCACTTAAGTAGCCGTCCCTTGGTATTGACCGGGGATTGGTTCCAGGTCACCCCTTGGATTATACCAAAATCCATGGGTATATAGTACTGGCATATAACCTACACCCATCCTCTTGTACACATGAAATCAACTCTAGATTATTTATAACACCCGATACAATGTAAATGCTATGTAAATAGTTGTTACACTGTATTGCTTTTATTTATATTATTTTTTATTGTTGCATTTTATTTTTTCCCAAATTTTTCAATTCACAGTTGTTTGAATCCACAAATATGGAACCCACGGGATACAGAGGGCTGACTATACATGAGAACAGGGTTCAGGTCTGTGTTTGTCAGGTGTATACCCACCCAGGGCCTATCACAGTGCTAGGCACATAATAATGGGCATTCAACTAGTTGCTGAACAGACAGATGATCAAACAAGAGAGAAATTAAGTCATTTTAGGAAATATAAAACTCTACCTGGCTTTTGGCTGCTGCTCCAATTGAACGATTCTTAGGACCAAAAGAAATGCAAGCCCTAGAAGAGAAAACAAACATTTAAGAATCAAACCATATTGCAATAGTACATCCAAAGCCATAGGAGGCAAGATTTCTGAGCCTCAGCTAAAAAGCCATTTAACAGTACACATTTATGATTTTGACCTTTCTATTAAGTAAATCTGTTCATGGAATGGGCTGCCTCTTAGAATGAGCCATCATTAAGATGTTGGAGCACAAGTCTGATGTGTTAACTATCTGTCTAGAAAACTACAGAAAGAGGTAGACTGACTAGCCAGTCTCTACCATCCTGTTAATTATTTTCCAAGTCTCATGTTTAAAATCCCAAAAAGTATATATACCCTGGCTGGGCATGGTAGCTCAAACCTGTGGTCCCAGCACTTTGGGAGGCCAAGGCGAGAGAATCACTTGAGTCCAGGAGTTCGTGATCAGCCTAGACTACGTGGCAAGACCTCGTCTCAAAAAATAAGCCAGGCATGGTGGTGTGTGCCTGCAGTCCCCAGCTACTTGGGAGGCTGAGGCAGGAGGACCGCCTGAGCCCAGAAAGTCAAGGCTGCGGTGAGCCGTGATCGTGCCACTGCACTCAAGCCTGGATGACAGAGTGAGATCCCAACTCAAAACAAATAAATAAATAAAATATACTCTCACATCAACATATAAATTAGTGTTCATCTTGTTTTTAGGATATCTTATAACTTCACCAAGAATATAGACTACAAACCCTAAAAACAACTCTTGCCCTACTGCATGTAGTAAAAAGCTAATTTTTCAAAACTAGCTTCCAAGGACTCAGAATTTCTGACAAAGAACTTTATCCCTACTTCCGAACATTCCTCCAAATCACCAAAATTCATACACTGCCTGCTGGTTGGCTTTATTTACTGCTTCTTTTAGAAGGTAAAACTGAAATTTGATTTAAGGTATTAAAAATATTGTGTTTAAGTTTAAAAAGTCAGTTGCCTTGGAGTGGAGGCTTTTGCTGTCATGGTCCCTATGCTTTCCCATTTTTCATTCTAACACCTCGGGAACCCTGCCCTGTCACATCAGATTCATTCATATAACTCAAAAAATCCTCAAGGACAAAACTTTTCCCAGAATCCACTTTTCCCTCAAGCTAGTAAGCCTTCTCTTCCTCCTACTTTAATAATAATGACTGTGCCAGGCATGAGCTATGCCTGTAATCCCAGTGCTTTGGGAGACTGAAGCAGGAAGATCACTAGAGACTAGAAGTTTTGAGACTATCCTGGGCAACATAACGAGACTCTGTCTCAAGAATAAATAAAATAAGGGTATTAATAAGTAAATTTATCCAGTTATTAATAAGTAAATATATCCATTTACCCATAAAATTTGAAAGTAGTGGTCAATACTATACAGCATATCTCCAGCTTTGACTTATATCCTCCCTGAAATTCCTAGTACTGTCCTTTCAGCAGTGAATAGATTAAGGACTCTGAAGCCATAACACCTCAGTCCAAATCTGACTACATTTAGATGACCTATCCATTAGCTCAGTATAATTGTGTGACTTATATAAACTTACTAGCCTACAGAAACTGGCACAATGCTGGGCCTGACACTTTCCAACCAATGGGCTAAGAACCCTTGAAAGCCAACCTCCCAGGTAAGTTGTAGGCAGCTATGCCCAATTAAAGGCATAGCCTGAGATCTCATCAGAATTTCTCCAAATCCTAAGTTCTTTGGACCTAGAAAGTGCTGAGGATAGGCAATCTTACCAACTCAGTTTACTCCCTCCACTCCAAAGAAGCTGCCTAGCCTAAAGCCTAAAAACTGGAAGACCTACATCTTCTAAAAATCACCATATTTGGCTGGGTGCAGTGGCACACACTTGTAATCCCAGTACTTTGGGAGACTGAGGCAGGAGAACTACTTGAACTCAGGAGTTCAAGATCAGCCTAGGCATAGCAAGACCTCATCTTTAAAAAAAAAAAAAAAATTTGCTAGGCATAGTCATGTGTACCTATAGTCCCAGCTACACAGGAAGTTGAAGAAGAAGGATCCCCCTGAGCCCAGGAGATCCAGGTTGCAGTGAGCCGTTAATAATGCCATTGCACTCTAGCCTGAGCAACAGAGTAAGACTCTGACTCAAAACAATAATGAAAATAAAAACCACCAGATCTAAAAATAAGCTCGGTGGCTCAGCCTGTAATCCCAGCGCTTTGGGAGGCTGAGGTGAGTGGATTGCCTGAGCCTGTGGGTTCACGACCCGCCTGGGCAACTTGGCGAGACCTCATCTCTTCAATAAATCAAAAAATTAGCCGGGTGTGGTAGCGCGCACCTGTAGTTCCAGCTACTTGGAAGGCTAAAGCAGAAGGATCGCCGGAGCCCAGCAGGTTGAGGTTGCAGTGGCCGGGAGCGGCCATTGCACTCCAGTCTGGGTGACAGAGTGAGACTCCAACTCAAAAATAAATAAATTAATTAATTAAATAAAAAATAAATAAAAATAACTAAAAACCACCAGGTCTAAATTTCTACGGTACACCCCCCCACTAAGACCTCAATCCCAAATAACTAAAAGGCACTGTTACTTCTCTTCCATTATTTCCTAAAGCCCTTCTTTCAAACCTTCATCTCCTCAAAACAATTACTAGGCTCTAAGAATAAAAAGCATTAACGTTCCCAACGTTCCCATAGGTCCTGTTAAAAGGTTATTTCCTTATTCTACCTCAGTAACTCTGAAACTGTCCTACTTCTTTCCTTCCAAATAAAACCAACTGCCAACAAATAAAGCCCATATTATTTAATATGGAATCTAAGACCTCTCCCAACCCAACCTCACCCCATTTTCCAGCAGTATCTCACTCACAAGTGAGCCAACACAAGTTCAATAGTCTCCCAATCTTCCTGCTTTTCTCATGCCACTTTTAACACCTGAAATTTCCTAGTCCTTCGCCTGTTCTCTAGGAACATCACCTATTTTGCCTGTAATGAAAAATCCACCCCCACCCAGAGTTTAAAAAAAAAAAAAAGAAAGAAATCAATCATTTCTACCTCCTAAAACTTACTGGACTTTGGGTTTAATATCTACTTAGCACCAACCACAAACTGAACTGCATTATGAATGATAACATTTCTTTCTTCTTGAACACTTTATATAGAAAACACCAGTTTTAGTTTGTTTGTTTTTGAGTCAGAGTCTCACTCTGTTGCCCAGGCCGGAGTGCAAGAGCATGCTCACAACCACCGGCAGCCTCAACCTGCTGGGCTCAGACAATCCTTCCACCTCAGTCTTCCAAGTAGCTGGGACTATAGGAACATGTCGCCACATCCAGCTAATTTTTTGATGTATTGTAGAGACGCAACTTTGCCAAGTTGCCCAGGCTGGTCGCGAACGCCTTGGCTCAGGCAATTCCCTCACCTAGGCCTCCCAAAGTGCTGAGATTACAGGCATGAGCCACCTAGCCAGAAACACCAGTGTTTAATGAAGCTTTTTTTCAGTTGTGCTTGTGCATACCAGGTCTCAATGTACAATTCAAACAAATTTCAGGTCTTAGGTTGCAGACATGCACTACTGAATAAAGCAGTCACTAGCCCCATGTGGCTATTTAAATTATTTAAAATTAAATGTAATTTAAAACTCAGTTCTTCAGTACCACTGACCACATCTCAAGTGCTTAATATACAAGTGTGGCTTGTGGCTACTGTTCTGGACAATACATATATAGAACATGTTCCATCATCACAGAACATTCTATTGGACAAAACATTATTCCCTAGAATAATATTCCCTAGATGGTATTACTCTAGACAATACTCTCCCTTGAAAACCTATATCTGCATTTCTAAAAGTAATAGGAAGTGTTCACACACCTCAAAGAGCCAAAAAATGGTTAAAAAGTTTGGCTCAGTACAAATGATTAATCCTTTTTCTGGTGTATGCATGTACACACTGGAAATAGTTCCCAACTTCTTACAAAGCAATCAAACGTCACTAATTACACTTCAATCTTTACTATGTAATACAGCAATTAAACTTTTTTTTTTTTTTTTTTGAGTTGGAGTCTCACTCTGTCACCCAGACTGGAGTGCAGTGGCCGCTCCTGGTCACCGCAGCCTCGACCTGCTGGGCTCCGGTGATCCTTCCACCTCAGCCTTCTAAGTAGCCGGAATTACAGGCATGCACTACCACGCCCAGCTGATTTTCTGATTTATTGTAGAGATGAGGTCTCGCTGTCCAGGCAGGTCTCGAACCCACGGGCTCAGGCAATTCACTCACCTCAGCCTCCCAAAGGCGCGGGATGCGGGATTACAGGATGAGCCACCGAGCCCAGCTTTTTAGGTTTTTTTTTTTTTTTTTTGGTTTGGGGTTTTTTTTGAGTCAGGATCTCACTCTGTCACCAAGGCTAGAGTGCAGTAGCATGATCACAGCTCATTGCAGACTTAACCTCCTGGGCTCAGGTGATTCTTCCACCTCAGCCTCTACAGTCGCTGGGACTACAGGCATCTTCCACCATGCCAGGCTAATTATTTTATTTGTTGTAGAGACGAGGTCTCACTATGTTGCCTAGACTGGTGTCGAACTCCTGGGTTCAAGGAATTCTCCTGCCTTGGCCTCCCAAAGTGCTAGGATTACAGGTGAGAGCCACTGCATCTGGCCTAGCAATTAGGCATCTAAACTTTCTTTTTTGTTTAGATGGGCTCTCACTATGTTACCCAAGTCGATCTTGAACTCCTGGCCTCAAGTGATCCTCCCACCTCAGTTTCCCAAGTGCTAGAATTACAAGCTGTAACCCACTGTTCCCAGCTCCAGCACTTAAACTTCAAAAAAGGTGTTCACTCTTGCAGTATGGGAAAATTTCACACTTTTCTCACCACATCATACAAAAATCATCTATATCACTAAAAATCTCTTACATCTATAAAAGTTCTATAATAATAGGCACTACTGCACTAGAGAAAGAAATCCTTAGCTTTTCCACTTCACCATCTACTCAGTTGACTTGAACACGGTATAGTTAAAAGAGATCAGCCTGGGTCTGTCCAAACCTTTTCTGCCTT